TCAAAACATCAAATTTTAGACTTTATATATGTATCACTTATTATATGTCTATTATCTCTTAAGAAGGTTATTAAAAAACTTATATGTCACACCCCAATGTTCACAGCATTATTATTTACAATTGACAAGACATGGAAGCAACCTAAGTGTCCCTCAACAGATGAATGGATAAAGAAAACATTGTATGTCTATACAATGGAATATTAGCCAGCCACAAAGAAGAATGCATTTTTTGCCATTTGCAACAACATGTATGGGCCTGAAGGACACTATGCTTAGTGAAATGGGTCAGACAAAGACAAATATTGTATGTTATCTCTTACAAAAATGAATATAAAAAACAGAAACAGACTCACAGATATAAAGAACAAACTAGTGGTTACCAATGGGGAGAGTGTGGAGGGGAGGGACAAGATAGGAGTAGGGGATTATAGGTGGCGCTAGTGGTAAAGAACCCACTTTCCAGTGCAGGGGACAAAAGAGACCTGGATTCATCCCTGGGTTGGGAAGATCCCCTGGGGGAGGAAATGGCAACCTACTGTAGTATTCTTGCCTGGAGAATCCCATGGACAGAGGAGCCTGGTGGGCCACAGTCCACAGGGTCTAAAAGAGGCGGGCATGACTGAAATGACTTAGCGCGCACCTGTTTGTGTACATGTTTGGTTCTCTAGGTTCACAGAAAGGAATGTGATTATTTGTTGGGAATATCCCCTGGAGCGCTTCCCTGGTGGCTCAGATGGTAAAGCATCTGCCTGCAATGCGGGAGACCTGGGTTCAGTCCCTGGGTTGGGAAGATCCCCTGGAGAAAAAAAACGGCAACCCACTCCAGTACTCTCGCCTGGAAAATTCCATGGACTGAGGAGCCTGGCAGGCTACAATCCATGGGGTTGCAAAGAGTCGGACACGACTGAGCAACTTCACGTACACACGTATCCCCTGGAGAAAGAAATAGCAACCTACTCCAGTATTCTTGCCTGGAGAATCCCATGGATAGAAGAGTCTGCCAGGCTAAAATTCAAGGGGTCTCAATAGTAGATAGGACTTAGCGACTAAACCACCACCAGGGGATTAAGAGGTACAAATTACTGTGTATAAACACCATTAAGTGAAATATGTTACAAGCAGTACTTAGAGGACAGTTTCATCTTAGATAAAACTATATAATGTATATATTAATGACTAGGAAAAAGATACTTGTGCTGGTTACTTCTGGGCTAGGTAATTATAGATGATGCTCATTTTCTTCTTTTTGCTTCTATTTTTTAATTGCTCTACAATGAAGATGTATCACAGATATAATAAAAACTCCAACAAAAGTTTTCAAAAAATATCAATGCTAATGCCCTATAAATGATACTGTGAGGAATATTAGTCTTGGGCCTTAGTGGCCAAAAGAAATATTTAACAGAAGGCTGCAAAAGGGTTTAGGTGCTGTGGGGAGGCCTGAGATGCTGCTGTTCTGAAAATGGAACCCTGTAGACTACTGCTTGGGTCTGACCACCACAGGTCGTGGCTGGGGTGCTGGCCTTGCCTCCCAGAGCAGTTGGCGCTTTAGGCCTCCCTGCACAAAGAACAGATGGAAAACAAGGACAAAAAATTTAGCATCTGCCTTGCTTGGGACAAGGGATTCAGTTAGACTGGGTCAACTCTGCTCGGTCAAGCCTCCATTGGACATTTTCCACGTCAGGGTCAGACAGCGAAGAGTGTGAGGGCGGCAAGGGACCCGCTCGTCCGAAGGCTTCATTTACAATTATAGAAAGTGAGGCTCAAATGAGCTCATGGCCATGTCACTCAATCAACATTCCTTCCTGAAAGCTCTAACAGTGGCTTGAAGTGAAATCAATGCTAGACTATCTGAAAACCAAAACAGCCATTTCTGGAAGCGGACTCACCCTCTGGGAATCTTAACACTCAAACTGTTATGGAGAAGAGTTGATGCTGACATACGGCTTTAAAACCCCCAAATCTTCCTTCTCCCCTTCCTCTCGTGAAAACACAAGAATCCAGCCCATGAGTTACTGTCCCTGAGTCACAGAACCATGGAGTTCTTTGAATCTGTTGCAGCAGATTGTAGTTGGGAGAACTACATACACATGAATCTCCACATTTACTGGCTATGATGGGGTTAGCAAATGCTTTTATCCTATATATCAATCGCCACATGCTTGGTTGGAATGTTAAAACAAATTCCAAGGCAGAACCTGGACTGAGTGAGTGTCATGATTGATTAGGGGTGTCTGGGCTGTGGAAGGGGTGATTAACAAATATCTTTACCACATATTTCCATCCTGATCTAGAAAATCTGTTACCCTCAACCTAGTGTTTCTTCATTAAATCTCTCCCACTATTGATTAACTCACTCTTACAGAATGTCAGGCTAATTATTTCAAATATTACTTTAACTACATCATCTTCTTACTGAAGAAAACTCTAAAGTTCTCTCCTCATTTCTCACATAGAAAATTTAACCCCTATATCTAATAATCTAATAATTACACTGTTAGTAGCTCAGTTGTGTCTGGATCTTTGTGATCCCATGGACTGTGGCCTGCCAGGCTCCTCTGTCCATGGAATTCTCCAGGTAAGAATAAATACTGGAGTGAGTTGCCATTCCCTTCTCCAGGGGATCTTCCCGACTCAGGATTGAACTTGGGTCTCCTGCATCACAGGCAGATTCTTTACCGTCTGAGCCACCAGGGAAAGCCCCTAATAATTAAGATCCTCCATAATCTGATGCTATTTATCACTCTGAGCAACCCTTCACAGAATATCCTCTCTGGCCTCTGGCTTATTTCCTATACCCAGAATACACACTCTGGTCAGAAAGAGCCAGCAACAGGAGCTGGGGATGGGAGTTAGATCAAAGGGGAACATATGGGCGAACAGATCATGCTGAGTCACTAGTCAGCCAGGGAGGCCTCTGATGGACGCTTGTGGTAAGGGTTGGAGTCACACCTGTGTGGACAAGCTCTGGCTGAGGCTTGCTCTGTGTGAAGCTTGTGAAGCTTGCTCTAGCTTCTACCCCAGCTGAGCTGCCTTAAAGCCGTGGGGTCTTACAGCTGTTCCTGAACAGACACCTGATGCATATCCCATACGTTTTAATCTCTGGGTTCATGGCATCTTCCTCACCTCAGGGCCTGTTTTTTTTTCCCTTTGTGTCTATTTGAATCCCTACCCCCACCCTTCAGTGCTCAGCATCAAAACAGAACAATGAGGCTCTGGCCTGTCTCCAGCGACCTGTTTCTCAGGGTCTTGATACCTGACACCATGCCCTAACTCATCTCCACAATTCCACATGGATCTCTCCTAGTTCTATGGTGTTCCCAAGTTTATATTGCCCATGCAGTTATATTCAGGGACTTTTTGGAGACTGCCTCTGAGATCTATTCAGGTGGAGTGGTCTGAATGTGAACGAGGACATTAAGGTGTCTCTTAACCATTAGATTTAAATACCAGTCTAAGCTAACAAAGCACCACAAAGTAGGAATGGAATTCAGCAGCTTAAAGCACAATAAATTCTTACTGCCCATGGCTAAAATGACACAAAATATTATTCCAGAATCAGGGAGAAAGAAAGTAAAGCTATCATGGAAAAATATGAGCAGGTTAACTTTTCCAGCATGCTGAATGGCGCCTGAGCAATCCAAGAGTTATTGAAATTGAAAATAAGCAATTGCTGTACACCCTGCTAATGACTGGGCAATGATAGTAAGTTATGACACTCTCTCATGGTGCTGAACCTAAAATAAAATTTACAATGCACACATTTAATCTGGAATAAACTTACCATTCATAATGCCAAAATTAAAAAAAAAAAGAAGCAGGTTTAAATGCCTATGAATTCTGATCAACGTGATGTGGGAAAAATTCAATACCAAGTTTGTTATGAGAAACAGAATAGGGCTACTCATTACTATATCTATGTTTTAGTTTTATCCAGATCAGAAACAGAAAAACCAGAAGCTTTTACCATATGCCTGTATGTATTCTTTGCTAATTTTAGATGTTAACAAAAAACTGAAGGTAATCTTTCTGTGCTATAATCCTAAAGATACCAAGCCTTGTGGCCATGCTGATAAGTTATGATCAATATTACTGAGAAACCACTGGCTTCCTATCCCCTGTTAGCTGGCACAGAGGAGAGGAAACTTTAACATTGAGTCAAGGGAAGAATTCTAGTTGCCATGACCAACATCTGGGGCCAGATACAGTGAGCATGGAGACTTTTTCCATTTTGTAGGCCTGTTTTCCCCAGGCCTTTGAAGGCAGAAGAATTCTTTTCCATCTTGACCATATCTAGGGGTCATGCTGGGGGTGGAGGTTGCTCTGGCATCCCCATGGCTCTGGAGTGAGGGGCCCAGAACATGGATGCCCTAGAGCAAGTTTCTGCTACAAGAAGGTGCCAGCCTCATGGGCAATAACTGGGTGTAGGCTCCCAACGACAGACAACAGGGAAGGTGCACCTAGTGGGGTTACTGAAACACTTGCCTTGAGGAGTCTGGCTGGGCTGTTTTTAGGCCCTACCTACAGAAGGAGGTTTAAATAGACTGCCTGGGTGAAGGGAGGTACTGATACTGCAGTTTTCTCATTGAAAGCTGGTTATAGCTCTATTGAGGTAAGAAGAGGTCATGGAATACTGGGATACAGCTGGTGATGGGGAGAAGAGAGGCAGGAGCTGTTTTCCACTGCTGTATCTCTTCTCTAAGTCCAGCACCATCAGTTTGATTGAGAGGATCTGGACTGTGGCACCAGCCCAAGAGGATTCAGAGAGGAGCCCTTTCGGACTCTGGACAGGCTCAGGTCCAAACTAAGAACTGAATTCACCTCATATGGAAAGTCAGCCAAGTTTCCACTGGTAAATCTGGATTCTGTACACAATTTAGTGATTTCCTGTTGGCTACCCCCCACTGCTGCCTCCCTCCCACCTGCGAGTAGTCACCCATCCATAAATCCTGTCCAGCCCTGGATTTCTGCCCAGTGTTCCAGAGGGTTGGACTCACCAAGAAGAGCGGAATTCCCAGGATCCAGGACCAGCTGTGTTCCCAGTGGAGACGTCAGCACTGAAGGAAGGTTCGGTCCAGTGGCTGAGAGCAGGGCCCGGATGTCGTCCAACCATGTGGGGACGTGGGGGGGTTCTGTGAGAAGGAGGACGGGGCATCAGGCAGGTTAAAGCATAAAGGCTGTGCTAAGGAGAGAGGGAGAGGCAGCCATGCATGGAAGTGTGTCCATGTGAAAGGCAGGTGTTACTATTATTACCTCTAACATCACTTTGCCTAGAGAGAAGGTGTTCCCATCAAGGTGAGTCTGAATTTCAAACACAATACTTGATGTCCGAAGCTGTACAGTCAGTGATAAGAATCAGGCATGTTGATTTCTGGAGTTCCTTTCTTACTGTATTCCACTTTCTACCACAGGTGCTCTATAAACACATAGCTAAATGAAACTATATTAAAAAGATACTTTGAAAAAGCCAAAGCTTCTTCAGAACTATATGCTGAGTCCTGTGCTGAAATAATTTTCATTCCTTGTTTCATTTAACTCTTAAAACGACCTTTAGAGGGAAGAACTTTGTTACTGTCCCCACAGGCAGGGATAAGTTACATGAATTTCTTATTTCTAAGATCAGGTGAGTGGCTTTTTTCTGGGAAGGAAGGGGTACAGTTGTGAGGCTAGGGATTCACTTTGGGATCTGGATTTTTATGTCTAAGTAAGACCAGAGAAGCAGTTCAGGGATGATGTGTTAGTGAAACTCTTGTAATGAGTCAGGGCTGATGTAACCAGGAATCAGTTAACCGGAGCTAAATGTGACAGAAAGGGAAGCACAGTGGCTTGTTTATTAATTTCCTTGAGCAAATAAAGAGGCAAGCAGCTGCTAAACGCAGTGGTAGGATGGTCCCAGATTCTGCTGGGAAAGAAGCAGAACTCTGCTCCCCGCTCTTCCCGAGTCTCCTGGCGCACTGCAATTCACACTCCAACGCCAACTCCCACCTTTTTCTCTAGAGCACTTGTTGGAGTGGAAAGAGAAGCAGAAAGGTTGTCCTTGTAATTGATGGTCATTTCAGCAGTGCTCAGAGAGGGCCTGCTGTGTGCTTGTCACCGTGTTCAGTACTTGTTAGAAATGGTAAATAAAGTGAGTCACAGTGGAGCCTGGATCTACTTCAGAAACCTGCCTTTGACTGCAAAGACCATCACATACAGAAAACAGTGATGAGCTTACATATTTATATATAAAACTTCAACATTATAAAGACACTATATATAGTCTATATAATTTGAAAATATTCTTTATGTGGTATAGGGTAAAAACATCATGATTGGATTCAGGAACTCGATTTGAGCCATGGCTCTTTCATTCACTAACTTGGGCAAGTCACAATCCCTCTAAGCTTTAGTTTCTTCATCTAAAAATGATTAAAAAAAAAAATAACCCTCATCATTTCCAAGGTCTCTTTCTACTCTGCTATACCATGGTTTTAGGAATTGATACTGATAGTTTCTTCAAAATTAGACTCTCTCATCCTTTTTAGTATTCTTTCAAAAACATTGAAATTGAATATTGAGGGAAATGGAGTTCCCCCAATAATACAGAAATGGAATATTCCTTCAAGAGTGTTATAATTCAAGAAGGCTTTGCTTATTTATTAATAGCCAAAAGGGGAGGTTATGGCCCATCTTTAAAACCATTGATCTTTCTGGGCCAAATGTCAGCCCCTCCTAATGTCCTTAATAGTTTACTTCTGCAGGGAATGTCCAGCTAATCTTTTGAGGGAACTGTCAATTCCCCAAGGACAGAAGTCACCTCTTGTGTTTATCCTAAAGCTCTACATGGGACTCAGTGGCAACACTTAATGAACAGCCATTCAGTGGCTATATGAACCCATGAATGAAAGTTGGCCTCATGACAATGCAATCCTCCACAATACAGGTTAAGCCATGGGCCTCATGAAACCTCAGCTTTACACATGAAACCCCTCATTTAAACATTAAGCCACATTTGGGGCTGATTAAAAAAAAAAAGAGAGAAATACTACTCCTATATCCATAAAGTACCAAACATAATAGGAAATACCATTCCTATCTCCATAAAGACTAACAAACTTTGATGAATAAACAGGACTTCTAATTGAGGAAATTAAGAATCTAAATAGTGTTGGTTTTTTTTTTCCCATCCAGTTTGATTAAAATGGGAAGACTTCATGCTCTTCAAGCTCCGCGTTCATGGTCATACTGAATTAGTGTTGGAATGTTGCAGATTTGGCTCTCAGAGCATACACACTTCATAGGCAGAGCTACATTAGTAGCCACACTTCCTACACGTTCATCTCTGTTAGCGGAGGTGATCAGGAAGGTTATTAGAGAGGAAATCCCCACAGTAAGCACCATAACTCAGTGTGGGGCAACAGTCTGGGGCCCCAGGCTCCAGACGAGCAGCTCAGCCAGAAAAAACCCAACACAAAACAAATGACATCCTTCACGGAGCTGATTTTCTGCGGCTTCCTAATATGACTGGAGGTTTATGCAGCCACTGTTGAGATGAAGACCCACGTGGGTCTCTGTGAAATCTGAGTGGGCAGGGGTAGACTCTATGCTTTGCTATATCGTCATTGGGGTGTGAAAATATGAGTAAAGTTTACTTACTTTCCCCTGTGGAAGGCCATAATATACATATGTGTGGTATGTAATTATTTATATTTCTCATCTTTTCCTCACTCCCCAAGAATGATGGCTCTCTCTTAGTGAGATAACTAGCATATATGCTCTAATAATTGCCTTTTTTTAAAGTTTTTTTTTTGATGTGGACCATTTTTAAAGTCTTTCTTGAATTTGTTACAATATTGCTTCTGTTTTACATTTTGGTTTTATGACTGCAAGGCATGTGGGATCTGAGGTCCCTGACCAGGGATCTAACCTGCACCCTCTGCACGGGAAGGTGAAGTCCTAACCACTGGGCCATCAGGGAAGTCCCCGCTAATAACTGCCTTTAAAAAAAAGAAAGACAAAAACAAGCTTCTTTATCCTTCCCACCCCCACCCCCAACAGTTCCCAGACTCTGCTGGGAAGAGAAGTATAGAGTCTGAATCTCGGGAAACCAAAGAGGTATAGATGCAACATGACTGAGTCCAGCCCTGGGCGTCAGTGAGTGCTGGATGGTGTCCTGGCAATTGCTATCATTTTTAAATAACTATTTTATGCCAGGAACTGTGTTAGACTCTTTAATCAGGGATCCTTGTGTCCGGTGGTGCTACTGTCTGAATGTTTGTGTCCCCCAAATTCATATGTTGAAATCTTAATCCCTTCAAGGTAATGATAAGAGTACCTTTGGGAGATGATTATGTCAGGAAGGTGGAGCCCTCATGATTGACATTGAAGTGAAGTGAAGAGAAGTGAAGTCGCTCAGTCGTGTCCGACTCTTTGCGACCCCGTGAACTACATGTAGCCTACCAGGCTCCTCAGTCCATGGGATTTTCCAGGCAAGAGTACTGTGTGCCATTTCCTTCTCCAGGGGATCTTCCTGACTCAGGGATCGAACCTGGGTCTCCTGCATTGTAGGCAGGCGCTTTACCATCTGAGCCACCAGGGAAGTCCTGATTAACATTAGGATCCTTATAACAGAGACCTCCGAGAGCTCGCTTGTCCCTTCTGCTCTACGAGGGTGCAGTGAAGAAGCCACCACTCTGCTGCCATGGAGAAGGCCTTCACCAGTCTGACCATGAAGGCACTTGGATTCTAGATTTCTGGTCTCTAGACAGGTGGGGAACAAACTGCTGTTGTCTAAAAGTCGCCTGCGCTCAGTTGGTCAGTCCTGTCTGACTCTCTGTGACCCCATGGACTGTAGCCTGCCAGGCTCCTCTGTCCATGGGATTTCCCAGGCAAGAATACCAGACTGTGCCATTTCCTTCTCCACGTAAGTCACCCAATCTGTGGCTGTTTTGCTATAGCAGCTGGACTGGACTAAGAAGAGGGGTACACATGTGGACTTAAGGTAGACTAGAGTATGAACTTCCTAAAATTATATGAGAAATTTTGTACTTATGAATTTTTCTCAACAAGGTAGTCTTTAGTTTTTGTCTGAATCTCAAAGCAGTCCTTAATATAGAAGGAGTTAAGAAAAACCGCCTGTTACCTCTATTTGTACCTCCCCTGCCCGGCCTTGGTGGGCAATCTTGTTTTCTACACAGAGACCAGGATCTAAGGCTTAGCAAGGTTAAGTGATTGCCCAAGGTCACACAGTGAGTAAGTGGTAGATCCCGGGTTCTAGCTGGCCTCTGCTTGGTTTCTTGGCCCCTCGGTTTGTGTTCTCTCCACTGGGAGGCCCTAAGGTGGGGAGAAGGGAAGGGATATCGATTTTACCTTCATGCATTTAATTGGATCAGGGGCAGGAGGCGGTGAGGGTGGGTCAGACAGTCACCCCAGTGGGGCCCACCAGGGGCAGCCAGCCTCACCGTGTTTACCTAGGATGAGGAGCTCGCTGCTCTCGGTCAGCTCCCCGTGCAGATTGGCCGCCTTGCAGGAGTACAGGCCCTGATCCAAGGAGGACACGGCTGTAAGCACCAAGGCGCCCTCCTGCAGAGGGGGAGATGAGGCCAGTTTGCTTTTATTCCTGAACCAGGTGACTTCAGCCTCAGGCACACCTAGGAGGAAAAATAAAATAAAATAAATGCATCAGCCACCACATTCAGGTGACCTGGAGATATTTATAGCCTCTTGGTGGACCCGACTCCGGGCTGCTCTGCAGGAAGCATCTGCCTGGGCGTCTTCTATGCTCCTTCGGCCAAACTAAATAAGGTCTCTGACCTCTCAGCTGTCTTGAAATCTTTTGCCTTTAAAAGCTTCCAGAGATAAGGCAGGAAGAGAAAGACTGGTTAAAAGAAGAGGAAGAGGGCAGCTGAGAAAGGCAATAGCCAGGGTGGAAGGAGTGAGCCAAAAGCCTTTGGAGAAAACACCTAAGAATGAAATCTATGTATCCGTGAAAATGAATAATTTGAGAACCAAATGAAACAAACCTAGTGCAGAATAAGAGAAGGCAGACTCGAAACAGCATACACTGTATGATTTCATTTCTGAACGTAGAAAATAAAAACTGGTAACGTCAGGCCCTGTTGTCAGCAATCAGAGTGGGGAACTGGGATGGAAGGGAGGTGCTGTCCCTGAGAGTGGGGGCAAAGAACCTGGCTGCTAGTAGTTGCTTTTTGACTTGGGGGCTATGTTTGGTGGGCTTGGGACCTTTATAATATATGCACTTTTCAGTATAAATATTATACCTCAGTAGAAAGTTAAATGGGGTCCATGGGGTCACAAAGAGTTGGACATGACTGAGCGACTGAAGAAGAAAGTTAAAAGCTACAGAATATTAATATATTCATGAGCCAGACAAATGAAAGCTGCTAGATCCTTACCAGAGTTGGCACTCTATGTAGAAAACAAGGCTGTATTTTTTGAGGCCTAAGTATTTTCTTAGAAAAAGAGAAGATGGAACCGTGGCATGAGGTTCACCACCACAGAAAAAGAGAGACAAAAAGGGAGTACTCTGCTCTCTCCTCAGTTCAAGTTTATTATTGTGAGAGAGCTGGGGAGAGTGCGCACATCTGAACTGGGGTGGGGTTCCAGTCTTCGGAAGTTAGGCTCTGTCCTCAGGGCTGTTATGCACTCGGTCTTTGTGACCTCCATAAATGCATATGTTGGCGTCCTAACCACCCTCAGTGTGACGGTGGCAGGAGATGAGGACTTGGAGAGTTTTAGCTTCAGATGAAGTCCTCCTGAAGGGAATATCCATTGTGATGGCATCAGTGCCCTTATAAGAAGAGGCCTTCTCTTTCTCTTTCTTTTTCCTTCCCTTTTTTCTCTCTGTTCCTCCCTCCATCATGTGAGGACACAGCAAGAAGATAGCTGTCTGCAAGCCAGGAAGAGTCCTCCTCAGGAACTGAATGGGCTGGCACCTTGATTTCGGAATTCTCGGCCTCCAGAACCATGAGAAACCAACTTCTGTGGTTTAAGCTGCACAATCTGTGGTATTTTGTTACAGCAGCCTGAGTGACTGAGACAAGGGAATGGCTTTCCTTCCTGAGGGAGATTCCCTGCGGGTGGCATGCCGGCAAGCAGTCCTCAGTTTAGGACAAGCCTGCTGAGATGGTCTGCATAGGAGGCTCCAGGGCAAGCCCGGCTCTAGTGAGCTGAGAGACAGGAACTATGTGGCGTGAATTCAGTCTCCAGGGAGTGGACAGCTCCGCTTTTGTACTTTCTAGCTTAGTGACCCATCTCACAATGTTTGCTCATGAAACTTGTGGACATGTATCCAGGGCATGTTTAGAAAGTCAAATCCAGGTAAACGGGGTTAAAACCCAGAACAGGCAGAGCCGGAACTTTAGTCCTGTACTTTCTCAGAGTTGGGGATGGATTCTGCCCTTGGGGCAGGGGCAGCCTTACCCTTCGTGGGCAGCCTACAGCTGAGAATGCAGACACTGTCGTGGCATCACCTGTGTGCCCACTGCTTGCCTCTGATGAATAAAATGTACTCAGAGTCTACTCTGTAACAGCCAGCTCTCATCCTGAGCTCTGGAGCACTTGCTGCTCCGGGGATCCCAATGGCAGGAAGTGGGGCAGTGTGGGAGACTGCTCTTGTTGCCTCATTAACAATGAACTATTCTGCATGAATTCACTGGTGTCTTGGCTGCCCTGCTGCTTCAGGCATGGTTTCCAGTGGTGGAATGGGAGCCTATGGTGGGCGGCCCAAGTGTTTGGCCAAGCTGTAGAGCTTTTCTCTCCCTGTCTATAAGGAACAGGAGAGTGACTCTCTGGTCCTCTTTTTCTGTCGAGGCGCAGTTACCCATAATTCAATGTGGATCCCCAGGGGCTGGTGGACTGGCTGGAGGAAGGAGGCAGGGCTGTTAAAAGAGGGGGAGACTTGGGTACCGCAGCCCTGATCCATCAGAGAGGCACACACACTGTGAAACTTGACGCTCAGGTGCATGAGAGGGGCCAGGCTGGTATTATTGTCTCTAAACACACCTGGCGTAAAGATGCAGGTGAGAGGCAGAAAGGCTGATTTTTCATTGCAACACCACTAGAGAGAGCAAGAGCATCACAATGCCCGACCATGCCAGCTTAGACTGTGGACCCCGAGCTCCGATTTCACGTTGGGGGAGAAAAAATCCATACCCTTCAGGAGAAAGCCTTTGAAAAGTAAGTAGAAAAAACAACCCCCACCCACCCACCCACATCAATTCTCTCCTGAAAGTGCAAGGAAAAATGAGGTTCTACAAACCAGCTTCTGCAAGTATTCACCCTTTTCCCGTCACCATAAACTGCTCACACATAGTACCTGTCAGTGGCACCTGCCTTGGAGGAGGTCTGTGGGCAGCAAGCACACAGTCCCTGATAGGAACTGAGGCTGTTTTAGAGCAAGGAGGCAGAGTAAGAGACACGGACTAGTGGGCTGTCAGTTTCAACAGCAGATGGTAGGGGTGAATGCTCTGTCTCCATGACGGTGCCCATAGGCCATGACTTGTGTGTCTCCAGGGCCAATATTGTGTTTACATGGTCAGCTGCCACACCCAGACTTGTAGCCCCACTATGTGACCTTCTTTGGTCAGGGTAGCCAGGGAGAGAGACAGGGATGGTGAGAAAGAGAAGGAGGAGGAGGGAGAGAGATGACCCAGGGATGCAGCCATTTCTCATGTTTCCAGGAAGTAGGGGTAAGCTTCTTCCATTTTTGTCATCACTCTTAGCCTCATGCCCTTATGAAATCAAGTCTGTTTAACAAGACAAAACAGAGTCTTTACCAATAGGGCTGAATCCTTCAATTGAGAGCAGGGGAGTTCATGGGAGAAAAGGACATGTTCAGGGTAAGGAAGGTAGATGGAAGGGACCTCCAATCTTTGTAAAACTGGGACCACAGAGAGACAGCAGTGCTGAGGGAAGCCAAATATTATAAGGATCATTCTGTGATAGACAGATTAGCAAACCTCTCTTAGACTCACTCAAACACAGACCTGCATCAATAATTTACCAATGCTGCTGGTGTCACATTTTGAAGGATTCTTGCCTGGGATTGTGTGCTTTAAAGAGAATGACACCAAAAAGATGCTTTGGAATGACAGCCAGCCCTGCCATGACTGATTTTGATGTATTACAAAGTTGGAACAAGGGAACAGGAAAAAGAAGAATGAGGCATCTTTTTTCTTTTTCTCTCAAGACATGACAATGATGCCTCAGAAAATATCATCAGCCCTCATACACGCCAGAGTTCCTTGAAAAGGTACCGTATATACACGCCTAACCCTGATGCTTAGAATACCAAGACATCAGGAATGCACTGAGGTCAGAAGCTATACATATCCTGAACACATCAGAGGGAGAAAGAACATTAACTGAATATTTGCTATAAGCCAAACATTTAATAAACATATCATACATAATCACAGAGTTACCATGAAGCATTGTTATTAACCCCAGTTTACTGATGAGAAAATTGGGACTCAAAAAGATTATGAAATCTGCCCAAAGAGACATTAGTTTGGATTCCCGAATGATTACATGAGAACAGAGTCCCTCTCCACTTTGCCACCAATCAGGGACCTACAAATGGCAGGCAGGGATCCAAACTCAGTACATTTGATGCCATGAAATCCCATTCTAACAAGTACATGACACTGTCTGCCATCATACGAGACTGCCTCCTTTGAGAAGCTCTGAATTGCTGCGTGTTATTTCTGGTGACAATCCTTAAACACTTTCTGCTTTTGGAATTAACCTTTCTACTGTAATTGTAACATCAGCATTATTGTTAGGAGGGAAGTTTCTAGAATCCATTGTTAGTACACTTCTTGGTGAGAAGCATATCAGGTTGTAGAAGATGATTTTTTCCCTAGCCTGTTGTGATATGACAGCGTGTTCTATAGAAAGAAATGTTTGAAAAATGACAAAAAACACACTCTACTGCAGAGCAAAGTCCAAAGCTATACTGTTGACAAGTTAGTTGGATACGCTCCACACTCTGGACTCCCTGGTATGATCTGTGTCTAAAATAGGAAGTAAAAGGACCTGCTTTTACTTTTCCTGCTTTGTGGCATATCTTATCAACAATACAGTGGTCTCCCTGCTGCTTGAAAGGATCAATAAATGAGTGTAGTCATAATGGGCTGTAACTTGATTTGATTATGAGGATTAGTGCTTTTAATATCCACTGAGCTGTCAGGTAGGGTGATGCTATAATAATCTTTTTTTAAAATCCCAGATAGGATATGCTTGTTAACTAGACCACTTGTTATACTTGGAAGGCTGCCTGCACCATGACACCTTGTCAACATCTTGAGGTGGGGCATCCACTGAAGTTTCTTTAAAGGCTTGGTGCAAGACAAGGAAAGAATATAGTAACTTAAATGTCAATCTGAGCAATTCTAAAGAACCATGGCAGTCTCGTAAGAAGGCTTTTAGTCTTCCACATTTCTTCACACTAACTGTGGCAGATGCTGACAGCTATTCCTTCTTTTTCCTAGGTACCCAGCCTGGGCTTCCCTGGTAGCTCAGATGGTAAGGAATCTGCTTGCAATGCAGGAGACCTGGGTTCAATCCCTGGATTGGGAAGATCCCCTGGGGAAGGGAATGGCAACCTACTCCAATATTCTTGCCTGGAGAAGCCCACAGACAGAGGAGCCTGGCGGGCTACAGTACATGGGATCATAAAGCGGCGGACACAACTGAGCGACTAATACCTCCTCCTCCTCAGCCTGGCAACATCCCCCAACAGCCCTTGGCAACTGTGAGTGGCCATGTGACTAAGAAGGAATGTGAGAAGCAGTAATGCGTGCTATTGGCTTGGCCAAAAAAGTTTGTTCCGGTTTGCCAAGTATCTCCCTTAAAACCATTTCAACCATCCTCTATACTTTGTTTTCTCCTTGTCTTATTCACAGGGTAGACAGAACCTCTGTGGAGACCTGGGAAGGCATGTATTCAGGAAAATAGAACCACCAGTGTCCAGGGATCTGAAGGACTGTGGGGGGCAGATCCCTTCCCCTCCAGCTGACCAGGACCACTCTCTGGACTCCTAGGTAGGCAAGTAATAAACTTCTATTGTGTTTGAGTCATCATTATACATTTGGGGGTCTACCTGTTACCATAGGCTAGCCTTTCCTGGCTAATACACTGCCCATCATTGACTCCTCAACTATTTATTTCTACATGACTAGTCCTGACAATTTTATATCCCAAGTAGGTCTTCAAAAGCTTCCCCTGTTCCAAAATGTACCATAACCTAGGAAAGCATAAGATTTAGCTCCTGCCTACTGTCCCCCACCTCTCAACCACAAGTCACCCTACTGTCTTCTAGCCTCTCCATCTTACAGCCAAGCCAGCCACATTTCACTTCTTTAAATGCAACATGCTTTTTCTCGGGCCCTTTGCACATCCTATCCCCAATGACTGAAACTCTTCCTCCTCCTCTAACCCCTCATCTCACATTCAGTTTTCTGAATTCTTCTCCAGTAGAGAACAAGTATGGGAGTGGTGTAAGAGACTGAGTCACTTGTCGTGAAAAAGCCTCATCAGACTTGTTGTTTAATGGTTTTTATGTTTAAGGGTTGGGAATAATTTGTGAGTCTGCATTTTACCTGTTGAAAGCATACATGTGCAAAAGCTATTTAATGAAAAACTGCTAACAACTCAAACATGTAAGGACATGAGTTATTCTATGTAAATTATGTAATATTCTTAAAATATACTATTATATAGCCATTAAAATTATATCACAAGAGAGTCATAAAAGCCACTTGTAGCATCAAAGTAAAAATAGTTTCTTCTGCTATTTGGTATTATAGCTGTCAGTATTTCGACTGGAGACTCAGCTCAAGAATGATTTCTTTGTCCAGTAAATTCACAGACCAACAGTTTAATCAAAAGCAGGGTCTTTCCCATCTATGTTGAATAAAAGTAAAAGTGAAAGTGAAAGTCACTCAGTCGTGTCCAGTTCTTTGTGACCCCATGGACTATACATGTCCATGGAATTCTTCAGGCCAGAATACTGGAGTGGGAAGCCTTTCCCTTCAGGAGATCTTCCCAACCCAGGGATTGAACCCAGGTCTCCCACATTATAGACAGATTCTTTACCAACTGAGCTACAAGGGAAGCCCATGTTGAATAAAAACTTTATTTAATAAAAGGCATAGTGACAGAGACACAAATTTATTTTATTTAACTATGATTAACACAAATGGTCCTATGAAAAAAACTAAGTTTTTAGTAATGCAATGTGCATGGCCAGGCAAAAACTGGACCTTACAACCTAGGATTTCACTATCAGTTACCAAGAGTGAATCTCTGGATGAAGTTGGAGACATGGCGCTGGGTGGCCCAGAAGAGCTGACCAAAGCTGTTTTGACTTTTCTAGTTTTCCTGTGATAAATACTTATCCACCTGAATTCTGGTTCTTTCAACCTCCTTCAGATGCTTAAGTCCTAGTTTTGCTGCCCTTTGCGTCCCACTCTTTCAGTCCTACCACTCCCAACACTCAAAAGGAGACCCAATATGGTCCATTATATTGGGAGACCCATCTTATCTCCAGTTGGTGTTCTGTCTTCAAGGCACATGTTCCTAGCGATCAGATGGGGAGTGATGGTCCTGCATAAAGGATCTGGCCTTCACCATCAGTCTGTGTACAGAGGGGCAACTCATTCATGGGACACCCTGATTGAGAGTATAGAGCCTGAAGGGATTTAGTTCTACAGGCTTTCACTGAGGCGGCTGGATGCACAGGCCAAGGGAAGCTTTACCAAGAAGAAGCTAATGTATTATGACAGAGAGAGATTTATATTTTGGGCTTCCTAGAGCTACCAGAACACTTCAGAGAAAACCGGACCTGCCTGTTCTTAGGAAACAACATGCTCTAGATGAAGATCTTCCTCCTACTTCTTCTAAAATGGATTCTCTCTGGCCTTATAAGTCACAGGCGGAGGTAAACTTTCTAAAGCTGGGGCTGAGATCTAAGATGAAGAAACACCCAGAACAGGGGCTGCCAATGCCTGTCCTCTTTTCAGAGAGGGTATGACGTGGGAAACTCGGTTGGGGTGCCATGGGAAGGTATATCTGATGAGGACAGCATTCAGGGGACTGTTGCTGGGCCCTGGCATGGGAGTCATCTATTTCCCCTTTGTATCGTGGCAGTGAAAACCCCTAGGGCAGGCAGGCCAGCAGTTCACAGGAAGGGAGAATTGGTAGCTAAGCTTTGTGTCATTCTATGTGGGTGTTTTCTGTTTTTAAATTGAAGGTAAATGCCTTTATGAAGGGCATACTACCACCTCCTCTGGTCTACTCCTCCTCCACTTTCTGACTTCCTGGTCCCTAGAGGCCTCTGAGTTTACAAGAGCTACCCAAAGGCAACATATATATCACACGCCCAGGGGCAGTGGCTGTTTTCATAAACAACTCCTACACACTTCTGAAAGGAGCTTCCCTGCTGACTCAGCAGTGAAGAACCTGCCTGCAAGGTAGGAGACCTGGGTTTGAACCTTGGGTCTGGAAGATCCCTTGGAGCAGGAAATGGTAACCCACTCCAGTACCCTTGCCCGGGAAATCTCATGGACAGAGGAGCCTGGTGGGCTACAGTCCATGACGTTATAAGAGTCAGACACTAAACCACCACCACCCACCCATTTCGAATGTAAGCTCCAGGTTGCTGTTGGTCTTACCCCTGCCACCCACTCCTGAGCTTTCCACCACCACGGTCCTGAGTTTAGGCCGCCAGTATCTCTGCTCTCAACTACTGCTGTTCATTGCTACTGTCTATACAGTAGGAGTGGGTTGCCATTTCCTTCTCTAGGGGATCTTCCCCACCCTGGGGTGGAGCTCATGTCTCCTGCTGGGCAGGCAGATTCTTTACCACTGGTTCCATCTAAACTACTGTGGGTTCTTTTATATATATATATATATTTGGATGCACGAAGTCTTCATTGTGGCATGTGGGCTCAGTTGCCCCACAAAAATGTGGGGTCTTAGTTCTCTGACCAAAGATCAGACCCATGTCCCCTGCAATGCAAGGCAAATTCCCAATCAGTGGTCCATTGGGGAAGTCCCTAAACTACAATGGCTTCTTAACTGGCCCCTCTGTCTCAGTATTTTTTTTTTCCTTCAACCTATTTTATACACTGCACAACCCCTAATGCCACTTCCAACCTGCTTTGTCTGAATGCCTCATCCAAGTGTTCAGAGTCTCCCATGGCACAGTTGCAACCCACGTGACCAAGTTTTAGGCCCTTTTCCCCCCCCCTTTTTTGGGTTTGTTGTTCCCCTTGGCCCAAGGCGTTCCCCTTTCCTTTGAGTTCTTGCGGTTTCCTTCTTTCCTTGTTTTTTTTCCCTTTTTTTATTCCTTTGGACCCCCTTTTTTCCCCTTCTTTGCTTGTTCTTTTTTTTTCGTTTTTTGGGTTGGGGTTAAAACCCCCTTTTTCCCCCCCTTTTTTCCCGTTTTTCTTTTGTTCGGTTTCGTTGGCCTTTTCCCTTTTCGGGTTGCTTGGTTTTGTTTGCTTTTTTTTGTTGGCCCCATTTCCTTGGGGGCGGATTTTTTGTTTTTTTCGGCCCCAACCTAGCACAAGGCTCCATTAATATCTGAACAAATGAATTAACAAATGAACGCATCTCTTACCTGCAACTTGGCAGTTAATAGTCACATTCACGCCTTGTACGGTTTTGATAGTGCTTCCTACATCAACTGTGATTGCAGGCTCCTCCGTGTTGAGCACCATCTCTCGGGATGTTTTCACTAGTGGCTTTCCTGAGGGTGAGACAGAATGTGACATTTTATTAGATGGGGGGCTTTGGGCACTCCCTTGAAACATGATCGACAATGAACAAGGGATATACCCATCTTTTTCCACTAACCATGTTTTCCTTTTCTAACTGTAACTATAAAAACCATCTACCCATCTGCTTATCTAGCTACCACAGAATTGTCAGAAAAGAACAAGGATTGAAGAATCTGAGGCCGGAGCAAGGCAACAGTTGGGATGATTTGTACATCTTACCATTAAACTACCAAGGTTTAATAGATTCCATTTTAATGGAATTAAATTTTTATTTTTAGATAGTTGCAGACTCACATTCAGTTATAAGAAATAACATAGAGCAATACTGTGTACACTTTACCCAGTTTCTTCCAATGGCAGTATCTTACTGTTATCTTATGATATCATGACTAGGACATCGACACTACATTTCCATCGCTACAAGGATCCCTCATATTGATCCCAGCCCTGCCTTAATCCTTTAGCAACCATTAATCTGTTCTCTATTTCTTACATTTTTGTCATTTCAAGAATGTTACATAAGTGGAATCATACAGCATGTAACTTTTTTTGATTGGCTTTTTTTCACTCAGAATGACTCTCCGGAGATTCTTCCAGGTCTGACATAGTATGGTGGCATGTATCAGCACTTTGTTCCCTTTTATTGCTGAGGAGTATTCCATGGTATGGATGTACCAAGTATGTTCAGCCATTTACTTACTGAAGGACACGTGGGTTGTGTCCACATTTTGGCTATTCAAATAAAGCATATAAAAACATTCCTCTCCAAGACTTTGTGTGAACATTTGTCTTCATTTCCTCTGGGAAAAATGCCCAGGAGTGTAATTGCTAGGTCACATGGTAGTTACATGTTTAGATTTTTAAGGAACTGCTGAACTGTTTCCCCAAGTGGCTGTATCATTTCACATTTCCACCAGTAATATATAAGTGATGTGGTTTTTCTGCATTCTTGTCAGCATTTGAGTTTTACCTTTATTTTTATTTTTGAACTTTTAATTTTATGTTGGAGTATAGTCAGTTAGCAATGTTGTGATAGTTTCAGGTGTACAGCAAAGGGACTCAGCCATACAAATACATGCAGGGTCTATGATATATTCTGAGTTAATTTTTGTATAAGGTGTGAGATTTAGGTCAAAGTTTGTTTTTTGCCTATGGATACACAATTGTTCCATGACCATTAATTGAACAAGCTACCTTTCTTCCAGTGAATTGCTTTTGCATGTTTGTCAAAATCATCTGGGTATATTTCTGTGGTTCTACTTCTGCATTCTCCTTCTGTTCCAATCAATTTCAAGATACCAATACCACACAGTCTTAATTACTGTAATTATATAATTATCTTGAAATTGATTCTTGAATCTGATTCTTCCCACTTTATTCTTCTTTGCTATTCTAGTTTCTTTGCCTTTCTACATACATCTTAGAATAATATTATCTACAACTATAAAATTTTGCTGTGATTTTGATAGGAAATACATAAACATATATCATTTTAGAGATAATTGACATGTTTACTGTGTTGAGTCGTCCAATCCATGAACATTGTGTGTTGATTTATTTATATCTCCTTTCTTTCATCAGAGTTCTGTAATTTCCAGTACACAAGTCTTGCATATTGTTAGATTTATACCCAATTATTTTTTTTTCAAAGGATGGTAAATGATATTGTATTTTTAATTTCAGTGTTCATATGTTCATTGCTAGTATATAGAAATAGTTGAGTTTTATACAGCATGTAACCTTACTAACTTATATGTTAGTTCTATGACTTTTTCTTTTTAGAATTTCTGGTATTTTCTTAGAAGGCAATCATGTCTCTGTAAACAGTTTTAGTCCTTCCCTTTGATGTATATGCCTTTTATTTCCTTTTCTCATATTATTTCATTAGATAGAACTTCCATCACTATGTTGAATAAAAAGTGTTGGTAAAAGTGGGATATTAGTATGATGAGTGATTTTTCATTTGGAATCTGGACATTTTCATATCATGCTCTGCAACTTTGGACCTTATTAAAATCTGTTTTAGCGGCTGTTCTCTGAAACCACTCAGGTAGGGGAGACGGAGGTGCCACCGGCTACTCCCTAGTGGAGGTAGAAGTCCACCTTCTCCCCTTGGCCTCCTCTGTGACCTATGTGGGGGGCTCCTTGTAACTGCTGGGCCTGGGCGGAGCTTCTGGCTCCCCACCGACTCTGCTGCGGGAAGGGTGTTGTTACTGCTGGTGGTGGGCTGAAGTCCTAACTCTCCAGGAGGCTTCCTCTACCACCACCCCAGAGGGAAGGGGGCACTGCAGGGTGAGAGGAGAGGCCCCAGGCCCCCGTGTGATCTCCACACTGCACCCTGTGGGGATTAAATCCATCTTCTCTGTCCAGGGGTCTTGGGGAACCACGCTCCCGTCTGATGAGGAGTCCAATCTTTCCATTCAGGCTTTGCTGGTATGGGTAGTGGTGGACCACACGGTTTTCTGTGGTGCTTGAAATAGAGCAGCATTTTCTAAGAGTTCACTGCCTTGTGAGGCTGTCCCTTTCCTGGTCTTTTGGGTAGAGGGAGCAAGCTTTAGTGGGGACTTTTTTTTCTGTTTCTGTTTATTTCCTGACAGCCACCTTCTTCAGCTCCAAGTTTGAGACTTATGATACAAACAACACACAAACAAGCCCCCCGCTCAACCCAGTGAAGTCACACTTGTGTTCCTCCTCAGTACCCACGGACCCGAGCCAGTCTGCTAGCCTCTCCACTTCCAGTCTTCTTACGTTTTATACAGAATGTCTGGATTTCACTTGCATTTACCAGGAAGAATAGGGGAAAATATATCTATGCCATCTTCCCAGATGTAGCAATTCTGTGTACGTTATACTTTAATAGGCCTTTATCAGGTGGGGCTAACAATACAGCACTTCATATATGTGATCATTAAATACAATGAAAAGATACATTTATTGAGCACCTTGGGGAAATAAGGGTCTACGTGAGATCATTTTCATATACTCAAAGCTTAACTTTTGTAAGTCAAATGGATTTAATTTTCTTTCATCCATTTTATAAGCAAGACAATCATTCACTCCTCTGTGCCTTCATTAACTGTGAAGAAAACCATAATTCTCCAATGCCCTTCAGAGTCTCACACCTGCTTTTCATCTTTTGTTTTCTTCATCAACTATTTACCTTTCCTTCCTGTGTATACTACCATGTGGCCTCATATCAGAAGCCATTCCTTTTTCTCCTCTTCCTTTTAATTGCCTTCTAGGCATAGGTTATCAGCTTATTGGGATTATGTCTAAGGACAGAAACTTGAGAATGTTCTGAGAAGTTCACCTTTGAATATATGCACAGGCTCTCTCTGTTCTGATTGTTTAGGCACTTTTTTTTCTTATTTCATTTATATTCAATGTGTTTGAGATTATGTATGTGCCTTTTCCCTTATTTAACTGGTATTCAATATGTTTGAGATTATTCATGACCTGATGTGAAGATGAGTGATTTCATACTTAATGCTGAGACTAATTAATGCATGATGATAATCAGAGAATGCAGTGGGAATGATACTGAATTAATATGGGCCTACTGACTTTACCTCCTGACATGAAGAGGCTCCTGGCCCTAACATTAAAAGTACCTTGAGTCTCACCGACCCCTCTGCTGCTATAATCTGATGTTGCCATGTTCTCTGGCCGGACCACTCTACTAGTCAGTCTGGTCAGTCAGCCTGACTGGTTTCCTTGCTCTGACTGCCCCTTCAGATTAAGTCTCTTCTGGTGACAGGCAGGGTGATCTTCAGAAAACTAACACAGGTTCACAGAAAACTAACCATTCTAATCACACGGACCACAGCCGTGTCTAACTCAGTGAAACTAAGCCATGCCCTGTGGGGCCACCCAAGACAGACGGGTCATGGTGGAGAGGTCTGACAGAATGTGGTCCACTGGAGAAGGGAATAGCAAACCACTTCAGTATTTCTACCTTGAGAACCCCATGAACAGTATGAGAAGGCAAGATGATAAGATACTGAAAAAGGAACTCCCCAGGTTGGTAGCTGCCCAATATGCTACTAGAGATCAGTAGAGAAATAACTCCAGAAAGAATGAAGAGATGGAGCCAGAGGAAAAACACCACCCAGTTGTGGATGTCACTGGTGACAGAAGCAAGGTTGGATGCTGTAAAGAGCAATATTGCATAGGCACCTGGAATGTTAGGTCCACGAATCAAGGCAAATTGGAAGTAGTCAAACAGGAGATGGCAAGAGTGAATATCGACATTTTAGGAATTAGCAAACTAAAATGAACTGGAATGTGTGAATTTAAACCGTTATATCTACTACTGTGGGCAAGAATCCCTTAGAAGAAATGGAGTAGCCATCATAGTCAACAAAATAGTCTGAAATGCAGTACTTGGATACAATCTCAAAAATGACAGAATGATCTGTTTGTTTCCAAGGCAAACCATTCAATATCATGGTAATCCAAGTCTATGCCCCGACCAGGAATGCTGAAGAAGCTGAAGTTGAACGGTTCTATGAAGACCTACAAGACCTTTTAGAACTAACACCCACAAAAGACGTCCTTTTCATTACAGGGGACTGGAATGCAAAAGTAGGAAGTCAAGAAACACCTGGAGTAACAGGGAAATTTGGCCTTGGAGTACAGAATGAAGCAGGGCAAAGGCTAATAGAGTT